GGGGGGGGGACCGCTCAGCCTGCACATCGGGCGCCGAGGCGTAGTTCCGGCCAGCTGCCGGCCGTGTCACGGCGCACACCCTCTTTCTCCTCCTCTCGCTCCCCTCCCCCCTGCCCCCTTGCTTCCTCCTCGCCGAAAGGGAAAGTGCAACGCGCGCACCTCCACATGCGCAAGATGAATGCCGACGCGCCGCAGCCGGACGCCGGCGGCCTGGGCGCTGCCCTGCTGCAGCTTTTGACCCCGGAGAACCTGGCCAGTGACCGTCGACTGCGCGGGCTCTTTGACACCGCCTCCGGCCAAGCTGGTGCGTGCTGCTCTTGCGGTGTCGCCCCACGGCGGCTGTTGGACACTAACATGGTGGTCTGCTTGGCTTGTGGCGGGATGTCGCACTCGCACGCTGGCCCGCGCGCCCGCGCGCGCGCGCGCGCGTGCGCATCGGCAGAGGCCCCGCTCCGGGAGGTGCTGGCCCTGCTGGGAGCCGGGCCTTCGGATGCCCCGCCCGCCGGGACTCTGGATCTGCTGGCCCTGACCGGGCCCTGGGCATGGGACAGTGCCGCCCCGACCGGCGGGAGGCTCACCTACACGGCCGGGCCGGGCCTGCCGAGCCTGGCGCCGGGCTTGCAGGCTGAAGCCGACGCATCGACCATCTACATTGTGCGTGCGGTGGACACGGGCGCGGGGGGCCGTGCCATCGAGGCACCGGTGCCCCTGGCATTCCCTTTTCCCTTGCTCCTTGCCTTCCGCACACTCACCCTGCCCGGCGTTTGCGGCCACCATGTGTGCCATCCATGCGGCCTGTGTGCCGGGGCGTGTTGCCCAGGAGAATGTCCAGGGCCCGACCACCGAGCGCGCCCTGGCCCAGCTCCTGGGCCGGACGCTGCTGGGCATGTCACTGGCTGTGCTCGACGGTCCCGGGTGCCGGTGCTCCCCGGGTGGTGCCGGGCAGCCGGCTGCCGTCGCCGACCTGGGGGCAGTATCGGTGGCCGGGTTTCGCGCCGGCGGCACGCCGGCCCTGCTGGACACCTGGGCCCGGGGACTGGGCCTGGCGCCCGGGTCGCCGCCGAGTGTCGGGCTGTCGGAGCTTCTCGCGGCCCGGGCCTCGCCGGTCCTGCACGTGAGTCTTCCCCGCGACGAGGCTGGCGGTGGTATCAAAGGCACGTCTCGTCACTGGGGGTCCTGCTGTCCCTCTCCCCCTCCC